TTGCTCTTGAATCCTCTCTTCTAGCAACTGAATTTGGTTTTGCTTTGATTTCAGAGCTGCGAGTACGGAATCAGCGAAAGAACCGTAACTCTCATTGCATACATTTTTTGAGCAGGCGAATCTTTGAGTGAAGTTTGGGCTTTTCGCTTACCGGCTGAATCCATATGAGGTGTTTTGCTTGCTTGGTTGCAACAGGTTCAGCTAAAGGCAGAAAATGAATACTTTGTAGAATTTTGATGAATGATTTGTAGAATTTTTCTAACAAACTACGGAAGCATGACCCATAATCGGGCCAACACTTCTCTAGTAACTCTGAGTTCAGACTAAAAAATCGCCTACTAAATAGCAATAAGTCCCGAGTGGGCTTACTAAGACTTTTATCTAAACGCGATTTCTATCTAAACTTCCAGATATTTAAGAGGAAAAAGAGGATCCCACGTTCGCGTTGAAGACGTCACTGGCACATGAAGTTGATGGATGTGACATTGTCTAAGTATACGATAAAAAACGGTGTTGAGCGAAGCGAAGCTTTAAATTGCTGTAAATACTATATGAAAGTTTTATACAGCAAGAAGTATTTTGGAGACGAAAGAAGAAATGTTTGTGATTTTAACTGACCATAACCACTATTTCAGTCCCTTTTCATTGAAGGAAGAAAGTTAGATAGATATCAATATAAAGTGTGCACTGTGACCTTGGGGTCTATTGTGCAGGTCAAAAGGACTTCCGTAGGTAGAGAGGGAATGCTCATGCTGAAGCTATATCAGGCATATGTTCCTATGTAGTCTCCTGGAAATGGCATAACACTATCGACTTGTAGAGGTACAGGTGTCTCTATGGCCGAGTCACAGAAGCGGCAGAGATTGTTTGAGGAAATTCCCCAAGTGTGTAAATGACCCTTCAGCCTGCAGTGCTAAGCCGACTATGAGCCCACCTGTCCAGGATCAGGACGCAGGTTGCTAACGTAACGCCTGTGCCCTCCTTGTCTAAGGCCCTCCGCCTAGAGCGTTTCCTGCCTAGCCAATTAATCAGCCGTGCAATTTCCGTACCCTGGAACCCATATCAGCTTGATTAAATCAGCTTGATTTGGAAGTATTTCGAGGCGGTTGAAAGAGATGTCAGGCATTCGCTGACCAGTTTTGACCGTGCCATTACCTATCCCAGCGCCCTGATTGCGGCTTCGATATGAAAGTAAATGTTTACTTTCCTAGTCGGCATAACATTGGTGCATAGGCAATCGGCTGCCTCTTTTATAGCGGCCACAACTGTCTGAAAGACGCTACAGAGATTCGGCAGTCTAAACTTAAGACCTATTGAGAGTTTCTGGATGTATACACATCAGTTAACTCTTCCGTCCAGCTTCGATCCGTCCTACCCGACCTCTACTTCAGATACTCTCATCCCTTTAATCTCTAGGGCGGGTGAAGCGGAAAAGTCCATGCCAACAAAGTGCTCCTTCCTCTTTGGTACTTTTAAAGACTTCATTTGGCAGCCTAAGTGTTAACTTAGTTTTTACCACTCTTAGTACTAGGGCTTTTTGAAGCCTGATAGCTGCAGTGATTGAAGAAAGGCCTTTGCTGTAAGTCCTCGCCCTTCGGCCTAGACTCAGGACGGCTAGGGTTAAATGCATCAGTCAAAATTCCATTTAATCTGTTAACTTCACAGAATTCAAGCTTTAATTTCTGTGCTCTAACTTGGGAAAGTTAATACAAAATGCGCTTCTGAAGATATACATGTTTGTATTCCTGTAATTCCTTTAAGTTCGTTAATTTCCTTGACTTCTGCCCCCAGCACAAACTCGATAATTCTGTAGACTGATGAAACACTACATGGTGAGATATGATCATTACATAGTTCTTAAATAGTACATAGGACTAAAAGAAAAAGGGAACGACACCGCTCTTTGAGAGCATCAATTCAATTTGTAGTAACTGCTAGATTTTCAGAGCCCATGGAGGTCCTTCTGCATTCACTCCGGTTCGACACCGTGAATGCGGCAGTGAAGTCTATCAGTAAACTTCTATCACCCGATTATAAGATTCAGTTATTTACATTTCACTTCTTTTGTCTCTCAATTTTACAATTCCACCAGCTGTCACTGATCCAACACCCATCCGTTCGTTATAAATGCGCTCATTTGTATTCATTTCTACAACCAGTTGCCGGCACTACCTCCCCCTCTTTGGGAGTGGCAAACACGCATTTTACCTTTGACAGCCAGCACTACAAAATTTTGCCACTTACTTCTACTCAACAAATTTTTAAACGAACATTTTTTTTTTGTTTTTGTTCGTCCTTCATTTTACGCCACTACTAACAATTAGTAGTGGTAAAAAGTAGTTAGTTTACCTACTTTTAGTCAGTTTCTGTCTAATTGCCACTAAATTTATTTGGGTACTTTTCCAAGTTTTTCCTGTGCTTTTTCTTCCGGTTTTAATTTTGGGGCCAACTTTTTCTCGAGCCGTTTAATTTGGTTTCTGGCAAGTGCTCAAGTGTTGTTAATTATATATTTAGAGCACGTGCCGCAGCATTTAATACTTTTATCGTTCGCTTTATCTTTTCTACGCTAGTGGCTTTGGATTTTTTCTTGTAGATGGCCGGACCAGCTTTAGTTTTTTATTGAAGTCTACTTTAAGGCGATTTTTTGTAATAAAGGATTTGCTTCGGAGATCTTTGCACTCTAGATTTGAAATAAAAAATATTTTAAGTTTTAGTAGTGCGTATTTAGGAGTGGGAGAGCGAAATTGAAAAATCAATATCTGTCGACTTTTTTTTAGGAATTATTTTAGTACAACCCAGCTGCTCTTTACTTTTGATTCGTAGCAATTTTTTTCACTATTTTCACATGCATTATCATAGCCGTATAATGTACCGCGCATACATACTTATATTTATACACAAGCACACTCAGCTCCCTATACTCGATTTCATGACTAATTTGCTTTTGGAACTTTTTGATTTGATTTTACAGCGAAATTGTTGTCGACTGCTACCTCACTTTTGCTGTCTACCGCTTTTGCTGTGTTTTTAGCCGCAAGTTCCTCGTCTCCTTTGTATTGAGGCGCTGTGGCAATGCAAGAATATGAATGCCAAACTGGTTTTTAACTTTTATTTTTGTAATTTGTTTTGTTTCTTTGTTGCTGGCGTTGCTTTTCAATTTATAAAATCGACGATTTTTTTATTATGGCTAGTCACGAAACGAAACGTCGCGGCGTAATGTCAGTCATTTCATAGATACGTAGTAAATTCATACTTACATACAGATATATGTATGCATGCAGTGAAAAATGCAGTTGTGCACTAGAAATTTTTAATTATATTTTTGTACGTATATAGGTTAGCATGAATGTAAAGCATATAGTACATAGGTATAATAAGAGTATACTGTGAGTGTCAGTCAAAATAGCACAGAAATTTTCTCCCATATTTTGAAATAAATTTTGTTTTATTCAAATTTTATTAATTTAAATAAAAATATAGTTCATACTACAACAAAATACATAAAACTTTACAAGATCCATAAAACTAAAAATTTCTTAAAAAAAATTTCTAACAATTAAAAAAAATCGTCTAATTTGAAGAAATTTCATACTTTTTATTCAGAATTTTTAGAATTTGTTTGGGTATTTAGTTTTATAGCTCATTTAATTTTAGTTTATAATAAAGTGCAAGTTGCACATTTTCTTCCATATAACGCATGAAGAAAATCTATTTTTATATAGAAAAAAATGCGCAACACCCTGGACAAAAAAAAAACACTCAACTAAAATGTAATGGGCTACAAAACTTTGTACCCCAAAAAAAAATTAAAAAAAGTTAAAATTTATGGTAAAGCATTTGCTATCCTCGGTAAGATTTCGGTTAGCATTACCGCCATTCAAGAAATTTGCCAGATGGGGCATGGGCGCACCTTGCGACTTCCACTATGTACAACTTCCATGTAAAGCAGCGTAAATTCGGTATCGGATTTGTGGTGGTTGAAGAGAGACTCCGTCGCCGAGTGCTGCCGTTCACCACGGTGGACGAGCGTCTAACCACAATCCACATCAACACGAGATTTTTTTTTGTTCGTTTCCCCAACTTAAGTGATTTCGGAAGAGTAGTAATTATTACAGTGATCATTGACAGATTGACGACCTTAGAGAGATATTCAACAAATTTCTCTGCTACAAGTTAATTCCTTGAACGGGTAAATCGGCGGATAACTCTGTAATCAAATACAAACTAACAAAGGTTGGGGTACGTGATGATCACGGAAGCATTACCCACAATGCCCTTATAAAACCCTAGGACCTTCACTTTTTACCTTTGGACTTATATGGTAAACTAAAAAAGCAAGCTGTAATGCTATTAGACTAGAAGATCTTCCAGCAGTCTTCAGGCGTCTTGACTACACAGTCCCGCCCACTGGACTTAGGATTCATTTCCAACCAAGGATTTCCTCAAGGCGTTCTGATAGCTCCAAATTAGACCTGAAGCTATGAATTGGAGTATACTCGTAAGGAACTCTCACTTGGCCTCAGTTTTCGTCTGCTAGATCTGTGCAGCGCTTTTCAAGCTGAACGTACAGAAATCGACGAAATTGGAAAATGAATGATCGAATGATCGGTAGCAGTACCTACATATATTTCTGATAGCCAGGAAGCTATCAAAGCACTTAATTCTGATAAATCGGTCATGGAATATAGACGTATCCTAAATGAGCTGACAAGGAGATACGTAGCCCAAATTGTATGGTTGCCAGACCATAGAGATGTGCCAGGCAACTGTGTTCCGGATGAACTGGTAAGGAAAGGCACCTTTCGGTCAGCAGTCATTACTGCTCGATAAGCGTGCATTCCGCTATCTTCCTGCAAACTCTGGGTGGAGAATAATTTATCGAACAAGGAAACACAAGATGGTCTGCGGAACCCACGTACAGGACAGCAACGGATAAATGGCCTAAGTTCGATAAGCTCAGATCTAGGCTCTACTTGGATTGGAGCTACCACTACTCCGGCATGTCATTGGATTTCTCACCGGGCATTGCCTGGAAGGATTGGTATGCAGTCAAACGATTACTGTCGTAGCTGTTGTGATTAGGAGGAATTCGAATTCGAGTATTATCTATGCCACTGCCCTGCTTTGACGAGGGCGAGCTACTACCTACTATTATGTGCGCTTCATTAGGGCCACAAATTAGTTTTACTTCTAAGGTAAGAGAAGGTATGTAAGGAGTCTCTAACATGGCAGCACAATGGACCCACAGTGATCTAAGTCTGTACTTTTCCTGTGATGGATGGGGACAGCCAAGATGATCTAACCTAACCTAAGTTTAACCAATTTCGAACTCCCGGCGACACGGTCAAATATTCACCGATTTCAAAATAAAACAAGTAAGAGCAGCGCTGTCTTCGGCTATGCCGAAGGCTTCATACCTTTCATGAACATCTGCAAATTTTACTTTGACAGATTACTGCTTTTGAATACATCTGCATACATCGATAGAGGAGTTACATACTTATATAAAAAATCACATCTAAACAATCAGAGGTATGGAAGATATACTTTATATGGCACCAATCTAAGTGATTTTCACTGCTATGTGATCGGTATGTAAACCGGTAACACAATTTATTGGGTTTAGTTTCCTACATAAAGGATATATCTGAACAATCAGTGCCATAGGAGATAAAGCTTATACAGCATAGATTTTGACGATTTTCTCAGTAGACTTTGTATTATTATTTATAAAATATCTTACGAAATTTATCGGTTTTAGCTGTTCAAATAAAGGAGTTTTACAGTAAAATCCCATATCTGAACAATCAGATGTATGGAAGATACATATATGTTATAGTCACCCGATCCTTGTTATTTTCACTGTAAGTATTTTGTAAATAATGAGTGAAAGTGGTGCGAAATTTCATGTTCCTAGCTGCATAAATGGAGGAGTTGTGATAAAAGGCCTCATATCTGAACAATCAGTTGTATGGGGGCTACAGGTTATAGTGACCCGATCTTTGTTATTTTCACTGTAAGTCTTCTGTTGATAATGAGTGAAAACAGCGCGAAATTTCATGGTCCTAGCTACATAAATGGATGAATTATAACGAAAAATCTCATATCTGAACAATCAGTTGTATGGGAGCTATAGGTTATAGTTACCCGATCTTTTTAATTTTCACTGTAAGTTTTCTGTTAATAATTATTGAAAACAGTGCGGAATTTCATGTTCCTATCTATATAAATGGAGGAGTTATAACGAAAAATTTTATATCTGAACAATCAGTTGTATGGGAGCTATAGGTTATAGTGACCC